CCCCAAAACCCCAAAACCCCAAAACCCCAGAAAAGTTGAATTAGCAAAAATGAGAAGATTGGAATTCATTCATTCTTTTAAATCATAATTATCAAGTTAAGTTTTTGATGGAGAAAACTGATCAAGTTCAATAGCTTTAATAAATACAGCTCACGCAAAAGCGATAATCAAGCACAAATTCCTCCAATAGCACCACCAAAGGCAGTTCACCTGGCATTTAGACCAAGTAGCAGTATATCAATCAGACTATGGGCAACTAAATATAGAAGACATATCCGTAGCAGATTGATAATAAGAAACATGGGAGCAATGGAGGGCAAGCAAGAAATTAGCAGTAAGATTTACAATAATAAATTCATTTAGACGGGGAATGATAAGAGATCCAAGGCCTGAAAAAGTCATGAGTCTAGATAAGTATCACATTTTCCAAGTGATTTGTGGCAGTGACTAGACATTTTGTATTACTTAGCAGCCAGATTATCATGTTTTCTCTTGGGGCTCCAATTAAAATGCTAAATTAGGTCATTCATATTATAAGCCATCGCCAAACAATGTTTCATCTAGCTCGATTTAAATAGTAAAGCATCCAACTATTGTAAAAGCACTTGAAAATCAAAAAGTTGATGGCTTAAGTTGTGGAACAAGCCATTCATTCGCATGGAGTAGCGAGACTGGGTTAGTATATGGATGGGGACTAGGTTTAAATGGAAGGTTGGGAAATGAAAGCGAAGGCGTTGTCCAAGAGCCCTAAGTGTTAGAATGTCTAAAATAAGCTTTGGAAATCGGAATGAAGGTATAGCAAATATCTTGTGGAGAAAATCACACTCTCGCCCTAATAAGAATGCCCTCAAATGACGATTAAGTTATGAATAAACTATTTGTATGGGGAAACAATGATAAGATGCAACTTGGTATGGATAATCAAGATGACAGTAATAATGATGAATCTTAATCAGCCAAGGAAATAGCAGTTCCACATTAACTTGATCCAGACCCATTTCAACATGATATATCTAGTAGAATGGGGGAGTAGCAGCTAGTAGCTATTCAAGCAAGTTATTACTACTCTGCAGGTCTAACTTCAAACGGTTGCATTTACACTTGGGGAAGTGGGGAATTCGGAAGACTGGGTTATATAGATACTAAGAGATAACCTTAGCCTAAAATCCTTAAAGAATTGATTGGCCAATAAGTTATAAAGTTATCTCTTGGCTATTACCATGGTGCAGCAATAACTGATAAAGGTATTGTTTTTACATGGGGACGTGGAATAAACGGTCAGCTGGGGCATGGAAGTGTTTTGAATGAAGATCAGATTAGACCAGTAAATGCGCTTTCTAATTATCACATAGTCGACATATCTTGTGGAGAAAGTCACACTTTAGCATTAACAAATAAAGGCGAGGTTTACTCTTGGGGTGGTGGATAGCTTGGCTAACTTGGTCATGGAGATTTTTTAAGATAAAGCTTGCCCATAAAGGTAGCTAACATAGAGGAAAGTATAATTCAAATATCGGCAGGTAAACGACACTCTGCTGCCCTTACAGTCGAAGGCAAGCTATATACTTGGGGATCCAACGAATATGGGTAATTAGGCAGGTAAGCTAATGTAACCGTTGGTTTATACCTAAAAGGTTCAGGAAGTGGCACGGCTTCTTACAACAATTCAGCAAAGACCAGTCCTTCTATGAATCTAATATAGGGACACCCAATCTATACTAAAATCCCTAACTCAACAGATAACTAAGTAATTCACAAGTTTGAATTCCCTACCTCCAAAGGAAACTCAGATGGTGATTTGGACTCAAATAATATGTTTGTAAGTTTATCAATTCAAGTATATTGTTTTTTTTAGCTGAATAAGATTGCCATTGACAGTGTTAACTTAAGTTGGAGCCAGAGTCCACATTAGATATTTGCTCCAGCAAATAGACTGCATGAAATCAGTCCTTATGTAAGACCTTCAACAAATATTAAGCTTTAATTATAGAACTAGAAAGGTTTGGTGAGCAGTCACAATCCACATGATGAAACAGCATACACTGGAATTATCCATCATCAATCGAAACTGACTTAGCTGGAGATAAACTCAATCTGCTCAGACAACTCAAATAATCAGTAGCAATAGTACCCACCATAGTTTTACTAAGGCGGCATGCTAACCTCAACCTCCTAGCAGCTTTACCATTAATAGTAGCACTAGCCTCCTTATTTTAATCATTAGTATGCAGGGGGCAGCATCTTCAGCGGACTCAACAGTAACCACCAGGATGAGACTCCAAAGTATATCAAGAATCTTAGAGGTGAGCTCAATGTTGCTCTTAAGAAGAATATGGAGCTAAGGATTAAACTGGAGTAGATGGAGGAGGAGCAGGAAATCGGGATCTAGAACTCCATTATTGAAATTGGAGAAGTATTCTCCTAAAAGATCAAAGAAGCGGGGTCTACCTCATAAATAGAATTAGTGCTAATCAAAGCCGGCGAGGCTCTGGATCAAAATAAAGGCTAAGCAAATCTTAAGCGATTTGTAAAGAACAATCTAGATGCAATCGCCTCTCTTAGAAAGGAAGTCATATTACAAAGTCAGTTAATTAATGTCATTCAATAGCAATGAGCATCTAAAAGTTTTAGCAACTAGACCGACTTAACCAATTAATAAAAGTATCTGTAGTGAGGTGATGTGATTTTATCAAAGAGTCTATAAAGATAATTATGAATTTAATAAAGTTCTTATTTAAAGATACAAATACTAACTGCCTCTAAGAAATTTATAATCATCCACATAAATATGAAATATTTTATTTAAACTTTCATTTACAAATTTTAGATATTTCTTTTTAATAATCTCCATCTTTTAAGGGGTTTTGGGGTTTTGGGG